TGTAAGGGTGCTCCCCTGTTTACCTAGGGTAAAGGTCAAACACAGACCCTCCAAATTCCAATTCTTTGTCTCATAAACAATTAACCGAACTGTTTTGTTCCCATTGATCAATCAGAATAAAATGCCTGTTAACCAGACTAGTTAGGATTCTCCCTTTCCCCCCAGACCCCTGAACTTTGACCCATTGTCAGCCTGGGTTAGCACACAGCCCCTCCTTAACAGCCCCTCCAGAAAATAGGTTGACCTCAGGGCAAAACGTTCTTTGATCTACTGTCAGATCAGCCACCTCCCCCTTTCATCCTACTTTGCCAGTTCAGATTCTTTCTAGCCTGTCTACCCTTCTCTAGAATAGAGAGACCCATTTTGTCTAACCCTTGAGACACTTGCAGATCTTAATGTCAGAGAGTTCTCCCTATTGCGCTAGACCACTCCTCCTATTGGAATAGTCCCTTCTTTCCCATCCTTGCAACAATCCTTTCAAATAAAGTCTCTCCTTACCTATGTCTGGATTTGTTTTTTATTTGATAGTGCCTGGCACACTGTAAACACTCAGCAAATCTTAGTTACTATTATTATTATTTCCTTGCCTCCTCTTCCTTTGTCCTGTGCTAAAACTTTGCCAGTATAGGCAGGAAACAATGAGGGAATCCAGCTTGCTCCTTACACCTAATGGGTGTATGCTAATCCTCATCCCCAAAGGAAATAGATGGTACAATCAAATCTGGATAATTTGAGGAGGATTTATTTACAGGGGAGACTAGTTAAAAAGGGGTGGCTGGTACAGGAGAACCACAAGTGATAGTAGCCATTGAGTTTTCACCATTTCTCGGTTTGAGGGGACAAAAGGAGGCAGAAGTTGCTAGAATGTTGAAGGACAGTCATGTAGAACAGGCCGATTTGAGAGCAGTGTCAACGAAAATAATCCATAACCAATCTATAAATGAAAATTTGGATGAGTTTATTCTGAGCTGAAATCTGAGGACCATGCCCGGGGCCTTTCTTCCCGAAGGAAGAAACGGCACCAAAGAAGTGAGGTATACAGAGTGGTTATATACCCCCAAACAGGATGCTTCACATATGATTGAAATGTCCCTCCCACAATAGTCACAAGATTACCCTGTAGGCACAGCACTTGATGGACACAGCAGGTAGTGGGTCTGCTATCTCGGAGGGCGTAGCAGGAGGCAAGTCTGTTGTGTCTAGCTGGGTGATCACAGGTGAGTGCAGCAATCAGTTCCTAGCCTAAGGAAAGATGCTTAATCCTTAAGGAAATGCCAACTTTGGGAGGGGGAGGGAAGTTGCACCTTTATCTCAAACGCCTTTGTTCTTGCCATAGGGAATCTCTAAAGCAGATATACAATGCATGCTCTACGGCCACCGGTCAGCCCCTTTTGGAAGAACAAGGTCAGGCCTAATTAGGTTTACACCAAATGGCTTCCTCATATGCTCCAATATCCTATTGCTTGCCATTTCTATTTGTCAGCAGCATTGACTGTCAATTGGTCAAATGACTCAGCCCACGTTGGGCAGGGAATAAACATCCATCCTTACTTGCCTCCTTCCCTTGATCTTCTTTTGTGGCACTCCCTCAACTAAATCCAACAGAAAACCAGAAGGCAGGAGCCCAGTTAATATAATTCACAGAAGTGAGCCTCCCGGGGCAGAAAGCCAGGTGGGAAAGAGTGGAGACCTGGAGGGAAAAGTGGAAAATATCTATCACAAGGGGGTTCACAGGCCTCTGTGTGTATTAGATTGGGTTCCCTGGAAACAGACTCTGAGACAAAGAGTCACATGCAGAAGGTTTACCAAGGAGTACTCTCAGGAGATACACTGTAAGGAAGTGAAGGAGGCAGGACTGGACACACGGAGAAGCCGACTCACAATGCCATTGCAACCAGAGCCTCAGCCTTTTCTATGAGGAGCTCTGGAATTGGGATGGCCTTTCAGCGTTGTCCCCAAATTGAGGTCATGGAGTCAGCCCTTTGTACCAATGTATCAACCAGCCAGGGTACAACCTTGGGCTGGGGCTGGACAGTGCCTGTGACCTAGAGAAATTCCCAGGGAGGGATGCAGGTGTGAGCCATTAGCACCTGCAGGGTGGGTGAAGGGATCTGGGTGGAGCACCACAGTATCCACTACAGTGTGTATGGGGGTGGAGGCAGTAGCTCATTGGATGGCCAAGAACAAGCAAAGTACTGAATACAGAAATTACAGGATACACTGCTGAGTTGGTGAGAAGGGTTGAAAAGAGTGTAATTACATACTGAAAAGCATCTGAACAAACTCAATCTCCATTCTTGGTAAAATATATATAAATAAAAAGAAATCTCTTAATGCCATAGAAATAGATGGATACCTCCATATGCTGGTAAAATACCTGTATCCCAACCCAAGAGGTAAAACCATGATAATGGGAAACATCAAGCTCCTTCCCGGGAAAGTCAGGGACAAAACAAGGCTGTCCACACTCCCCATGATTGTTGAACATTGTTCCGGAGGTGGTAACTAATCTAACACAAGAAAAGAAATAAAGGGTATTAAAATAGGAAAGGAGGAGTAATATTTTCATTAGAACTTTAAAGATAAAAACTTTTTCACCTATCAAGTTAGCAAAGACAAAAACTGTGATAATGCACTTGGTTGGTCATAATTTGGGAAACAGGCAAAGTATCTGAATACATTGACAGTGGGACAGTAAATGACTACAGTCCTCTCTGGGAGGAAATCTGACAATAATTATTAAAATTAAGCACATGCATACCCTTTTGCTAGCGACTCCACTTCAAGGAGTTTGTCTTACAGATATATTCACACATGTAGGCAAAAACAGATGTACGAGGATATTAACTCTAGCTTGGTTTATTTATTAAAAGACTTTTTGATTATGACCAATTTTAGTTTATAACTGCATTATTTGGCACTTTATGGTAATGGATATTTCGTCCAATGTTTATTTTTGCTTATTTTTCAAAAATTGCCCAAACAATACTTTTATACACAATGTCCTTCCACTAGTAGTCAGCTTTAGAGATGATTTGTACTGTAGCCTCGAGGATGCAAGAACAATGAAGCAAATCTCAATGCTGGGTAAATTTTAGCTTGGTTTATAATAGCAAAGGAAACAACCTAAATGTTCACCAATGGGAACTGATTGAACTACAGTCCAACCATGAGATGAAATGCTATATAACTTTTTTCTTTCTTTTCTTTTTTTTTTGAGGAAGATTAACCCTGAGCTAACATCTGCTGTCAATCCTCCTCTTTTTTTGCTGATGAAGCCTGGCCCTGAGCTAACATCCGTGCCCATTTTCCTCTACTTTCTATGTGGGACACCTGCCACAGCTTGGCTTGCCAAGCAGTGCCATGTCCGCACCTGGGATCCGAACCGGCGAACCCAGGGCTGTTGAAGCAGAACGTGCGAACTTAACCACTGTGCCACTGGGCTGGCCCTGCTATATAACTTTTAAAATGAATGAAGCAGATCTGTTTGTACCAATATGAAGTGATTGTGAAGACATATTGTTGAGTAAAAAAAGCTAAGATGCAGAAAAAAATGTTATTAATATACTATTTTTGTTGTTTTTAAAAAACAACATATATGCATAGAAAATCTTAAGAAGGACATATACATTATGTAACTGGTAATGATAGCTGTTCGTGGAGATCAGAACTGGGTATTTGGAAGAATAGGACAAAAAGGGAAACTTTTTTTTTATTATTGTTTTGTACCTTTTGAATTGTGTGCCTATTCAAAAATTAACGTAAATAAATGGACAAAATAGATGGACCCAAATCAAGCAAATATTGAAAACAACACAACAGACAACAAATTTTTATAAAAACACTCTAGAGGAACAACAAAACAACCAACTCCCTTTCCTCAAAAAAGGGGCAGGGAAGAAATAGGGAAAACTGGGGATTAATAATAATCTGTAGGAGAATGTGTCCGAGATGAATTATAGAAACTCATCTGCTTCCGGCCTATTGCCATGGGGGGAGCAGGAGATTGCCTTTGTGTTTTGGCTGAGAAAATGACTGTTAGAACATTCTCTGAAATCTATTCAACTTTCGACTTTATGGACAGAACTCAGATATGAGCCACGCTTGTAGGGCCTTGTCTCACAATGGCCTTGGGGCAAACGCCAGGATGCAGCCCTCTTGAGCAGATTAGCAGGTGCACCCATTTCCCAGTCTGTCAGCATTTGCAGAGATGAATGTTTAGACTGGGTTGTGGCCGAACCCACCCGGGACAGTAGACCAGCAGAAGGACAATGACCTCTGTAGTTCTCTAGTTCTGTGTGGTAGGCATGAGAGTGTCTTTTATGGCTCAGGGACAAAGCAGCCTGAACATAGGTGATGGCTCCCCAGAACCTGGAGACCTTAGGAGTCACCACTCTAGTGGGAAATTGAGTTTGAGGGTAGCCCCTCCCACTGGAAAAAAAGGGAGGGAATCTCATTGCCTTGCAAACCAGTTTGAGCCTCTTCACTCATTGGACAATCCTTACTTTTGGTCTTCACAGGCCTAATATAGATCCTAACTACTAAAGACTTTACAAACCCTTCTTCCGATGGCCTTGCAAAACTCAGGGGAACCAAGAAAAGGTTGTGAGATCAAACAACATTCTCAAGGAGGCCACTTTTTTATTACTAGAATGCAAGCCCTTTTGCCACAGATATGCCTCTATATGCTTATGGTAGTTTTAATGTATTATTGGGGGCCGTGGCTCTATAAGCAATTGTTCCTGCTATCTAACTTCCGCCAGAAAGAATGGCTCAGGTTTCAACTGCTGCCTTCTGTGGTCATTCACCAGAATTCAAATAGCTGCGTCCAGCAGGTCAGGTTATGCAGGTGCCGGGCTGTACGTTTTGTGGCTAATTCACTCTGGCAAGCATGTCAGGAAGTGATGCTGCTCAGAACCAAATGTTCCACAGGAGCATTACTACACTTTTCCTATGGCTGAGTGGCAAAACTGATGATACCTGCTCTGAAAATTTTCCAGGTCAAGCTTCTGTGCACCAGGCTCTGCCCAAGCGTGATTGCCAGGAAGTCTGTCCCATGCAGTGCTGCAGACCTGTGTATTTCTTCAGGGACCTCAGCCAGGTACTACAATGGAGGCAAAGGTGCTGCTTGAGGAAGAATTCCGGCTTTGGCTCAGCTATTCTGCAGTCTACCTTCCCTCAGAGCAGAGAGTTTGGGGCAGGGTTTTCTACTTATTTAAGAGAATGTCGTTCAAGCCATCTACTTGCTTGATGTGAGAGATTTATGTGTTTTCTAACATAGTCATCAATGTAAGGTTCTAACACTCTATATTCCAGTTGGAGAATAACCTTGAATTGTCAATTGTTTTACTCCTTTCAAAAGCTAAACAGGAAATTGACGTTTAGTCAATTTTGTTTAAGGGACATGGTATCCATCACTTTTGGTGTCTTTTAACATTGTTCTTTTATCACATTTGATCACTGTAAATCTACACGTTTATGTGACGTTAACTTAGTCCTCTCCAGAATACCCATTACTGAATTTATCTTTTAGAGAGTGTAAAGACTAGATTTGCTATAAAACTATTGAAGTTATTGACTAAAATCTCCTACAATGTCTCCTATAAAAGGCATCAAATATTGGGTTTATCTTATTTTAGGGTTTAGTACTAGGAGAAAAAATCTCTTCTGAAAAACTGGTTTCCTTATTCCCCATTCTAAGAGCAACACATTGTGTTACTCTTCTTTTTCTCACTGGCAGAAATAGAATTAATAATCATTCACAGTTACCCTGTCAGCCTTTGAGGCTAGAATATATGCTTCCTCCTCCTTTTTACGACTTTAGTGTTATATTTCTTTTTTTTTTTTTGCAAACAACCGTTGCCAATGTTTTTTTTTTTTCTTTAATTGCTCTTTCCCCCCAAAGCCCCCCAGCACTTAGTTGCATATTTTAGTGGTGGATCCTTCTAGTTGTGGCACATGCGATGCTGCCTCAACATGGCCTGATGAGTGGTGCCATGTCCGCGCCCAGGATCCGAACCGGCAAAACCTTGGGCTACTGAAGCGGAGTGCGCGAACTTAACCACTCAGCCATGGGGCCGGCCCCTGGTATTATATTTCTATCCCAATAAATGTGTTACATATGTGTCTATTATTGGAAGCTGCTGTATGGCCTTAATTTATTTTTAGAAAAAGTAGGGCTATGAATTTATATCGCCATAAACACTTCAATAAGAAACACTATGTTCATTAAAAAAAATACAACAACAACGACAAAAACCCAACAACAACACACTATATCCAGGTAATGAACAAATTTTTCTTAAATCTAATAAAAAAAAGAGTAAAACTACTCATTATTTGTTTATCTAAAAATGAAATTTTTTATTCATTAACTCTTGAATTCATTCAAGAATGTGAAATATTAGATAAATTCGTTGAACCTCTAAATGCAGTAGTAAACATTAGGTATGCCGTACTCCATGGTGGAGGCTGGCAGCTACATCCTTTTGGGAGATCCTAGGTAAGGATAGGAGAAAGGAAAAGGAGGGAGTAGGGAGGGCAATGGCTGTCCTACATCCACTAAACATGTATGTGCACCCACTTAAGCCGCCTCGGTGAGTCAGTCCCGACTGTTCCCGGCCTGGCTCAACAATCATGTAAACTCTGTGAGGGCTAGGATTTGCATCAGGCACAAGTGAGCTCAGGTTTTCTATTAGATATTTGGCAAATGAATGAATAAATGAATGAATGAGTCAGTGTTAGAGCTACCCTATTATGATAGTGGTGATCCCATTGTCCTAGAGCCTGAGCTCCTGCTCTTGTCCTCAAGCTTCTCTTGCCAGGAAATGGTAGACCCATCTCTGGGGACTCTGGGAAGCTGTTTCCCAGCGAGCCCTTGCCTCAGAAGATTGTAGATCTTAGAAATGGCATTCATGTGCTTTCTGCACCCAAACTCCACGCCTGTAAATACAAAGTTGGTTGTGCTTTAAAATATTATGCTCTTCAGAATCCCCACAAATGTCCATCAGCATTCATTTCCCCTAATTTTTCGTAGTTTATACAAGACAATGTAAGATACCATTATCACATTATCTTGGGTCCTTTGAAGCTTTGTGATGAAATCAACATTATCATACTTTTTTTTTCTTTGTTGAGGAAGATTCACCCTGAGCTAACATCCACTGCAAATCATCTTCTGTATGTGAACCACCACCACAGCCTAGTCATTGACAGACGGTGGTATAGATCTGCGCCAGGGAATTGAACCCCGGCCGCTGAAGCAGAGCATGCCAAGCTTAACCACTAGGCTCCCCAGGGCTGGCCCTATCATACATTTTTAAAACATCATGAAATTGGGGAATCACTCTAACGCAATGGTTCCCAAACTTTAGTGTGTATCAGGTCTGCCTGGAGGGTTTGTTAAAACTTAGGTTAGTGGGTCCCATTTTCAGAGTTTCTGATTCCCCAGGTCTGGGGTAGGGCTCAAGAACTTGCATTTCTAACAGATTCCCAGGTGATGCTGACGCTAGTCCAGGGATCACACTTTGAGAACCACAACTCTAAACCAACTTTCTTTACCAAACACTCTGCCTCTTGTGACATTTTGGTTGCTTCTGTTCTGAATGCTGTTGGCAAATGTGCAGAATGGCCTCAGGAGTGTGAGACTGAGTAATCTGGTGACTGCAACCTGTGTTATCTACAGCTGGTGGCTGATTGCAAAATGGAGCAATTAAGGATTAAGACATAAATCACAGGAAATTAACACGAAGCAGCACTGAGCACAAAACCCATAAAATTGCTAACATTCTTCTGTTTTGGTCGTACACGTGCATCCTGCTTTGCTCTGCTATTGTACCCAACATGATGGGACCACACCCAGAACAAACAAAAGACTGTCTGTCTCTGCCACCAGAGAATGGTAAGGTCACAGGCAGGCAAGAGAATGGAAGTAAATTCAATGAAAAAAGATTCTGCTGCTGATGATAAAGAAAAATGACATTATACTGATTTAATTTTATAAATATCCATACTCAGTCACGTAACTGTGGCAGAGTAGAAATTTGAATTTCTGTGGCCTCCGAAGAGCGGCTTCTTTATGCCAAAATAATTTCTCTCTGAATGTTTTCTACGAGTTAGAACTTCATATGACTATTTCATATGGATTCATTATTGATATGGCTTCTCAGAATAAAAAACCTGAAACGTACCATAAGATAGATATGAATTTGAAACGTAGACTGATGAAGTGGAAAAAGCTGAAATTTCATATTGCCAATTAATAATTCATTTAACTTCTTAGAAATTTATATTTGGGTTTCTTCTTATATATACTCATTTTAAAAATTTAAGGTGATTAGCACCAAGTAAAATGAATTAATATAAAGGCTAGAAAATCTGATCGGATTGATTTGACAAAAATTAGTTTGAAGGCTTTCTTCCTGTTATATCCCTTTTATAAGGTCACACAGTCACTTTTCATCTCACAGACTTCCCCAAATGATTACTTATTCCCTGATGTTTTCTTTGACTAATCAGAACAAGATGATAGTTTCCTTTTTATTCATCCTGCTGATCTCTGAGTGTTATTTATCTAAATGTGTTCCATCTACTCTTCATAATGGTTACATTGATGTACATAATTTAGGATGGAATTGATTTAAATAAAATGTATTTAAATTTAAATTACTACCCAGGAAGATGGAAGGTAGTAAGTTTGACGGCAGCTCTTATTTGATTTAACCAGAATGTGGTTCTCAACTTGTAAATAGGTATAGTTTCATTTTTAGAAGGCCTATGCTATATGTTTCAAGTGATGATTGGTTTTGATAATTTCTCAAATTATTTTTGCTGTCTAATCAGGAAAATGAGGCATTTGAAACCAATAGGTGTGAATTCATTGAGAGGGTTACACACCTCTGAGTCAATAGGTTGATCATGATTTTGTTTGGCGTATTTTGCGATATGTTAATACATCAATCAAAACACAAAAAACAAGGTACACATACGTAAATGTTTTATTTGATTAAAACAAACGTGCTGAAAATTTTCTAACGACAAACAAAAATGTTGAAATTAACCTAACTTGGAGAATAAATCTTTCATCCACCTTGGCCCTTGACTCCTTAGGGACTGGTATGGCACAGGGAATTATGCAAATTCGTGTTTGCAATCATTCCTTTGCAGAAATTAACACAGGGGACGAGGGATGTCTTGTTGTAGAATCTAATCTTGCTTAAGGAATGAGAAAAAAAGGCTGCAATTTCAGAGTTTGGGCCTGGTAAAGTCTACAGGACAAGGAGCCAGGTAAGTTTAGAAGCTTGGAACTAGCTCAACAGATGCCAGTGTGGCTAAACGGTGACGTGCCACACCATCTCCACGGGAGATCTGGGCCTTTGTACTGATCATCTTGTGTAGACGTGGCTATTTTGTTCTCTTAATATATCTTACTATAGGCATACTACTTTTGGGAATTACTGTTTTTCCTTAGAAGCTACCCTCTATGTGTGTGTCTTTCATTTAATACTCACCTCCAGAATGCTCTGGAAGAATGAAGGGACACCTCTTCAGGGTACAACGAGAGAAAGGCTGGAGAGGCCCAGATCTTGGAATATTGAAGCTCATGCTGGGCTTTCCTAGATAATCTTGGACATGTAATTGCCACACATTGATTGGACTTGAGACATACTTTAAATTTCCTCAGAAAGACATTTATAAATCATCTCTCAGGGTGGGTTAATTTTGCAGAGCTAATGTTACCTATAACAACAGCAAACGTTAAATGCTTGATAGGTATGACTCACAACAGGTCCTCACAACGATCCTATGAGACTTATTATCTTCATTTTTCAGAGAAACAAGCTGAGGCACAGAAACGCTAAGTAACGTTCCTTAGGCCCCCAGTGGTAAGTCGTAGAGCTGAGACTAGGCCATTCTCAGTCTGGTTCAAGGGCCTGCACTCTGTGGGGGATGTGTGTGTGTGTGTGTGTGTTTGTGTGTGTGTGAGTGTGTGTGAAATATTTCGAAAAAAGAAAATCTTGTCAGAGTTGGGGCAAGTTCTGCTCACAGTGGCAGCTGGTCTTATCCTCGAGGACAAATGGTTTCTTGGTTCTTTTAAAAAGTAGGCAAACTGTCTTAGGAAGGACAGTGGGCCTTTGCCTGGGCCCTGCTGATGCAGATCGTCAGCCAGAGTATGTTTTGTGTGCCACATCTCAGGAAAGCCAGAACCTCCCAGAGAAGGACAATGAAACTGGCAAGGACGTGGAACAGCTTCTCTATGGGGCAAGAACAGGAAATTCGAGACACATCCCTCATGTCCCCAGCTCCCAACCCCATCAGAGTCAGTAAAAGACAGAGGTTAGGAGTTGGGATTTTCTTGGCTATTCCTCTGACTAGCTATATAGACATGGGCAAGCCTGTGAACATTGCTGGCCCTGGTCTCCTTATCTGGAAGATGGATTCTGGAAGAAAGCCAAACCAGGGAATGATTTCTACAACAAGGCAGCACAGGGCCGCAGTGGGGAACATTGACACTGGAACCAGGTGGCCTGAGTTTGTACCCCAACTCTAAGCTATTGTCCAGGCAAGGATTCAAGCAGATGGAGGCAAGAGTTGGAGCAAGAGAAGGAGGAGAAAGAGGGATGTAAAGGCCGGATGAGTGGGTTAGTACAAGTTGTGTATAAATCGGGAACCACTTAGATTAATACATATGAAGCTTGTTTCTCTTATGCCAAGACAACACTGTTAATGAGCTTGGGCAGCCGGAAGTGTCGCTCTGCCAGGTGGGTCCCACCCTCTCCTCTGCTACCACCTGTCTTACTCCTACCTTCCTGCATTCACTACTCTCCATTTTCCGTCAACACTGGCCAACACCACTACCTACATGTCACAATGTCAAGGGAGGTATCCAGATGCCATTGCAGAAAGTGCCTATCTCTGCTCAGCCTCCAGAGAGGAGCTTCATGAGTCCAAGGCATTGCCAGAGCTGGACTCATCCTCTTGAAAATGGTGAGTGAAATGAGATCATTTGTAAGTTGAGATTTTTATCAAAAGCCAGTGTTTTAAAGCTCTCTATGAAACAAACAAAAATCCCATGGGGTTTTCCTTAAGGTATACTCACTTTCACATGTGTCATTATTGACTAAAACTTATAATTTAAATTATGGCATACTCCTTAATTTAAAATATGTACTCCTTAATTTAGAATACAATTTTCTTAAAGCTTGAATTTTAGAAATGAAAGGGACTTGTGAGACCATTCAGTTCCATGTCATTGTTTTTGAGCTGAGGGACTGAGAGGTGGTGAGGTGAAGGCGCTTATCCGTGTTCACAGGGCTCATTAGCAGAGCTGGGTCATGGGCAGAATTCTCAGTCAAAAATTATTTTCCTTACATCACAGAAGACTCCTCCTCCAGAGTACTTATTGTTATGACATCTTAAAGGGTTCCAGAATGTGAGGACAAGTGAAACTAGTAGCATCAACAGCTCATGCAGAATGGGGACTAAAGGAACTGGGCCTAGGGCCAGGGCTGGAATCCTGTCTTCCCCACCTACTAGCAGTGTGGTCTTGGGCAAATTATTCCACCTCTCCGTGAAGTCACAGTTAACCTGATTGCAAGTGTTTCAATTGGTTTGTAGAGTGTTCCACTCTGTGTTAGGGACAGAATTAGTATCAGATGCATGTGAATCAGGAATCATTTATATATTTACGTGTTCAATAACTGTTAACTATTATTTCCGAAAGGCACACTATGAGTATCCAGTGCAGTTATAGGCTCTGGCTTTGCTAAATGGAGAATATTAAGGGATGTCTGCATCCTGCATCCTTTTTAGGTCTTTCCCAGTTTAAAAGTCTTGAGAAACCAGAATTCTCTTCCTAAGTCCATCCTGTTCCCACTTCAGCCCAAGCAGACTTTCCCCTCACTCTAGAATGCTGAGGATACAGACCCTGGCAGAGCTTGATCTTAGCCATATCCCAGTGCTGAGCCTAGTGCCTGGAAAAAAAAAAGTTTGTGAAAGAGGAATACAGTGGTATCTCCAGAATTTTAATATAGATGTGGTTTAGAGTTGATTATCTGGGTGATTGGCGATTAGGGAGCTTGAATTGAAATTGCATTTGCTATAGGAAATGATGGTGGTTAAAGGGGTGTGACTAATGTCCCCTCATCCTAGCCCTTGAAATCACCAATGAATGCAAAAAGGAATGAATGAATGAATGAATGAATGAAGAGAGTAGCAGAGCTAGTGCTCTTTCAGTAGACACCACTACAAGGATACAACCTCCAAGCAATACCAGAGGACAGGAAGAAATCTCAGAATGGGACCTGAGATGGACTAATCCGATATAAACTGGGTATTGATATATTATCTCTACCTGTCAACACCCCCAGGCTGGAGAAGTATGCATTTCAATGGTTATGAAAACGATGCATTCCTTGCCCTTGCAGGAAGACAAACAACTTGAACAGGGTCTTTGACCTGTGACTTGTGGCCCACGGTTTAGAATACAATGTTCTAGAGGATATATACTTACTGATGAGATTCTCACCACTTTTTCAATTTTCCTCACAGTGGCGTGAGATTAATGAGATAACCATTTTACAGCTCGATGTGAAAGACACTAGTATGTATAAGCTATTATTGTCGTGTTTATACTCCAGAATGATCTGATTAAGTAGTATATTTAGATACCTAAATGATAATGGAGAGTTTGTGTTGAGTTTTTAATTTATTTGATTAATTTGTAGAGTTTTAAATTAATTTGAGTTTTTATTGGACTATGAGTTTTTAATTCACATGGGATCAAGAATTGGAGGTCTTCTCTTTGTTGACAAACTCTATCTTCTCCAGGTAGTGCATGTCTCTACTCTTTTTGCTTTTATTTTTATTTCTGTCTGGAAACTTGTCTGACTGGTCTTTGCTTCTGACGGCACCAGGTTATATGAAGGTCTTGGCATTCCTCGCTTGACGACTGCACATGACTAACTAAGTGTGGGGCGAATTCTCGTCAGGTGACTTCATAGTTCCGGGGAATCACTAGGACACATTGGTCATTAAAGCATTTTTTTTTCTTTTGAAATGACCACAATATTTATTAAAATAGCAAATTGCTTTTTTTCTCTTTCCTTTCTAGAGATTTTAGTTTTTCTTCTTTAGTCTTCACGGCTTCACTTCTCTTGGAAGCTTGGAAATAATCTTTCCCCATAATGGGGCCTTTTTGCCAAACACTGCCTTTTTTCATTGAATTTGAAATATGGGCTTGATTTATTTCTATGGTTTGTGAGTTTGTTTACCAACATAATTAATATTATCAAAACTGCTCTTGGAACAGAGTTTAATCCCTTGGCTTTCATTTCTGATGCTAGGATGATTAACTCTGGAGAAATAAATTTTAAAAAATTGTATGTTAGGCACAATAGCAGTGACAGCATTCCTTAATTTTCCTGCTTCTGCCCACATTTGTTTACATGCACATCTGTCTGTAATGTCTCTGAATTAATCACTGTTCCTCCTGCCTAGAGAAAACTGAGAGGCCTCTTTTCTGAATCTTTACCAATGAACTTCTTACAAATGGATCACAAGAACCATTCACTGACACAAATTTCCTTTTCTAAGAAAATGAAGTCACTGTTTTTAACTTGAGACTCCTTAGCCTCTGTTAGCCCTAATATTTTATTGAAATATCCCCATTTAAAAATCTTGGGTTCTGGGGCCTGCCTGGTGGCGTAGTGGTTAAGATCAGCACACTCTGCTTTGGCGGCCCAGGTTCAGTTCCCAGGCACAGACCTACACCACTTGTCAGCCATGCTGTGGTGGTGACCCACACACAAAATAGAGGAAGATTGGCACAGATATTAGCTCAGGGCAATTCTTCCTCAGCGAAAAAACCAAAACAAAACAAAAGCTTGGGTTCTTTAATAAAAATGAATTTCAGCAATGCTGCTTTCATTCCATGTGTGTCTTCTTTCTTTTTAATCCCATGGTACCTTTTGTGATCCAGCGGGATTTTCAAGTCCCTTGGTAAAAATATTCCCATGGTGTGGTACGCCAGGATCCCAGACTAACAGGACCTCGAGCATTGAATGTCTTGTCAGAACTTCAGTTCCACTGATGACAGATTGTGCAATAAATAGTGCTGTAGTAAGTTACTGGCTTTTCTGCCAAAAGGAAGCAAATCTTTTCTCCTTAAGAGCACCTATTTTTTTTTTTTTTTTTGAGGAAGATTAGCTCTGAACTAAGATCTGCTGCCAATCCTCTTCTTTTTGCTGAGGAAGGCTGGCCCTGAGCTAACATCCATGTGCATCTTGCTCTACTTTATAGGTGGGACGTCTGCCACAGCATGGCTTGACAAGCAGTGCGTAGGTCCATACCCTGGATCCAAACTGGTGAACCCCTGGCTGCCGAAGTGGAACATGCAAACCCAACCACTGTACCACCATGCTGGCCCCAAAGATCACCTAATTTTAAATTGCTAAGGAACCACAATTCAGCCCATAAAGATTATTCTATTAATTTGGCTCTTTCCCCAATATTCCTACATTTCATTTATTTAATTGTTCTTTCCTGCCACAAAAATTACTGCTTCATCTTGGCCTGAGATCCTCTTCTTCACACTCCCCATTCTGGTTTCTAAAGAAAATTGGAGAAGAATGAGACAGAAGTCCATGGCAGAGTTTGCAGGAAAGGAACAGAGAAGAGAGAGGCTGAGGAGGTCCAAGAACTGGTGAGTGAGTGGGGTGGACCTGTCATCAACACTTCTGGGCTCCTTCTTCCTCATCTGACTCCTTCCTCCTGGGGCTAGGACTTGACCACTGCAGCTTCCTTTGCCTCCACTCATGACTTCAAGACCATCCTTGCAGCAGACTGCCTTAGAAGGTGGTTGGTTATCTTCCTTGTTGGCCCGAGGGGTGATTCTGCCACTGTACCCGCTGGCCTGGCATCATGGAAATCTGACAAGCCCGCCTTGCAGAGACATAACAGATTGGCTTCTTTCTCTTCTTTCCTTTATCACAGTCAGAGAGAGGCCCAGAGGAGGAGGAAGCCATGGTTATAGAAATCGCCCTCCACAAGGGAGCTCTTGTGAAATTCACTCTGCAGGGAAAACAATACTGTGGGGGTGTCATTTTCAGTTGTGCTGTTGCTGGCACGACAATTTAAACAGTACTGTTTCCCTGATCTGTTTGGGCTTGGTTTCCACTCTTGCATAATGCACATGCTGGGTTCTTTGTCCTGTGGATAGCAGAGAGCCCACGGCTACCTGGGCTTGGAGAGCTGCAGGGTTCTCTAATTTTATAAGTCAAGCAGAGTCTAAGATATATATTTCTAAAATCTTGGATTTTTATTGCCACCACAATATATCAACATTAAAAGTCAGTTTTAATCATTATTTTGTTTTTGAGGAAGATTAGCCCTGAGCTAACATCTGCTGCCAATCCTCCTCTTTTTGCTGAGTTTTAATCATTATTAGATATTTTAGCATACAAAAAATACATAGTTCTCAACTCTCATTGAGTGGGTGATGAGATGCTCATTAGAAGGATGCGCATTGGAATCGCCTGGGGAGCTTTTCAAATGACCGAACCAACTGAATCTGACTCTACAGTGATGGGGCCCAGGCGTCTGTGTTTTTAATAAGCTCCTGAGATGGGTTGAGAACCACTGGTAGAAGATAGTATTTTTAAATAACAGGTTTACTCTCCAGCCAGCTTAAGCAGTAATCTCTCCCTGGTAACATTTCCCTCCCTGGCCCCAGAGGTAATCACTAGCCTAAATCTGGTGTTTATTGTTCCCATCCAAACGTTTAAATGTATGTGTGTTTGTAACCCCAAGCATACATGGTATAGCATTTATAAGTTTTAAAAATTTCGCAAAATGGAATTATGTCGTAAGTATCTTTCTGAAACTTTTTTTGCAAAGATTTATTCATATTGATACATGTAGTTTTAGTTCATTTTCACTACCATATAGTATTCTATTGTATAAATATTTTTAAAAAAATTTATTTTGAAGTGAGCCAGTGATTGTACCATTTTAACAGAAGCATTTCCATTTTTGGGGTGTTTTCTCCCAATTTTGTCCTCATGCATACATATTTAAATAGTGATAATTCCATTATAACTCAATTTTGGGTTTTTTTCCCCATCTCATATTATGTCATGAACTTCTTTCCATGTTTTCACGTGTATAATGATTATTTAATCAACTCTGTAATTTTCCTTCATGTTTCTTTATCATAATTTACCTAACTCTACCCTTTGTATATTTTGAGGGATGGAGCTGGTGAGGCTGTAAGGAAGATTTGGGGGTATGTAGCTTACGAGTTTTGTTGAATTGCTTCCCTAGGATAACTTTCCAGGAGAAGGGTTATTGAATCAAAAGCCTTGAAAAATTTTAGAATTCTTGATACATTTTGTTATATTGTTTTCCAAGCACACTTTTACCATCTCTGGGTTAACGTTGGATGATTCTGTTTCCTGGGAGAATATAATGTTAGGAGTGCTTCTTTTGGAGAAGGCATGCTCTTGGTTCCAAATTCTTAGAAAAAATCAAACACTGAAAAGAGTTCCCAGAATTGAAGCTATTTAAAAATAGACTAATGTAGAAGACTAAATGGAATAGCAAATATACAAGCAATACCAAATACATTGGATAGTCAGCTGATTCCAGATGTGACTTTACAATGATAATTGAAAATCCCATACCTATGTTGCCTAACCTCTTTACTAAACCTCAGGCTCCTCATCTGTTAAATGAGGTTATCATAGAAATAATCACAATGAGTAGCACAACAACATTTTTACAGTCCTTATCATGTGCTAGACACTGTTCTAAACATCTTTCATACACTAGCATTCAATCTTCATAACCCTATCATATAGGCATTATTATTTTTATTCTTACTTTATAGTTGAGGAACTGAGGCATAGAGAGGTTAAATGACTTTTCTAAGGTCAGATAGCTAGTAAATGGCAGAGCCAGAATTCTAACTCAGACAGTCTGGCTCCAGAGTTTATGTTCATAATCACTAAATAAATAAGATAGTCTGAATGCCTAGCATATAGTAAATACTCAATAAATGCTTGCTATTATTGTTATTATTATGTGTTTAAACAAAAACAACTGAACTAGTATAGAGAGTGGCAGAATTGATTTTAAAACTCTAAAACAGGGTCAATGAGTGGAAGTTTCAGCAAGGCAAGTTTGGACTCAATAGCAGTAGTGCACCCTTGGGCACTGGACATGAACAAGGAGAGGCTGAATGGCCACTTGTTAAGAATGTCGTAGACAAAATTTCTACATCAGGTGAGTGGCTGGACTAGATGACCTCTAAGGCACTGTCCAACTATAGGATTCTATGCTTCTAGGCAGAGTCTTATGTTCTTTTTCCATACAGTAAAGCTTCATTTGTTTTCTTTAATATTAGTTTCAGTTTATGAACCTTGTTGATGTTGTTTTCCTTGTAATTATCTGAATCATTCGCCAAGGAGAGCGTGCCTTTGTAGTTTGTGCAAGCCTTTGGCAGTCTCTTGTGTTGTAATGTTTGATGTGTTACAACACCTGAACATTGTAATGATGGGTGCTGGGGAAACCGACATACAAGCGTGTAGGTCACTGTGCTAAGGTGATCAGCCCTCCTGGGCAGGCATCTACAGGGTTACCGTCACTTGGTTGAATATTGTTTGGAGTCTGACACCTTTAACAATCAAGACAACATGCAGGCCCATGAAATCATCATATGGGGCTTTAAGTGTTTACACTGAAGAATTATGAGATATGATTGTGGATGTGAATTGATGTCACGCCTATAACAGCACAGTCTGTAAGTGACTCAGGGGAGTTCCAATGAGTTTCCTGCTGGGAAGGCGAATTGTTCCCTGGATGAACATAGTAGTTTTGCTCAAGTCGTGGGGAAGCCACACCTGACCTCATGATTTATTTTCCCTTTGGATTTCAGCCTAGGCAATTTTTCTGTCTTTACCATTACGTCTTAAGCAATCCTTCAGGACAATGCAAAATTTCGTATCCCAACTTCATGTCCTGTCTCCAACAAGGGTAATTTAAAAAGCACAGTTAATTCTGTTACCAAGAGGTTGATGATGGGAGTCCATAGCAAGTATACTGGACTGGCTCGGAGAGTCAGTACTTGGAAAACAATTCCTTCTTGGCTATATGTCTTTGTCTTTGATCTAATGTTTTATGTTGTGCTGAATGTGTAGTTACTATGGAGATAGATGAGAATAGGCATAGAGTTTTGGGGATCAAATTGTCAGCAAATGTGCTAATATAAAAATTGAATGTGGAGTCAGAAGGAAGGTGGACAAAGGCTTTCAAAACAGTATTAGGAGATTTAATCAATAATGTAAAGGGGAATGAGAAAGCCAGAGAGCAGATAGGACTTTACACATTAGATTCCGCAAAATCTTAGATAAATGATTTGAAATGATCATTTTTGAATCAGCATCACTGAAACACACAATTTACCTTATAAGGAAAATAATATCTTTTTCTTTCCCAAGGAAGATTAGCCCTGAGCTAACGTGCCAATCCTCCTCTTTTTGCTGACGAAGACTGGCCCTGAGCTAACATCTGTGCCCATCTTCCTCTACTTTATATGTGGGATGGCTACCACAGCATGGCTTGGCACGTGGTGCCATGTCCACACCCGGGATCCGGGCCGGCAAACCCCAGGCCATGAAAGCAGAACGTGCGCACTTAACCGCTGCGCCACCGGGCCGGACCCGGAAAATAATATCTTTTTATTTAGTGGGATTCGGCTATTTTCAACATTAGTGATAATTCTCCTAAAACAAAAGTTGTTACAGGTTGGCTTCTATTATCATGGTACTTTCATGCAAACAACTCATGTATTTATCCATAAGAATATTCATACTTTGTATTTAACTTAGAAACACTGTAACTCGAATTAAAAAAAATTTTTAAACGCCAATTTATTTTGCGTAAGCTAAGGTTTGCTTTCTAATCTGACCAACCAATAAACAATTATGAGCATACATTTGGGGCATCTTGCTTTTGGGAACTTCAAAGAAGGTGGCAAGCTGTCTGGCAGGAATTACGAGTGTCATTATCCTTGTGTTATTCATAATGAATCCAATAGGATGAGGGCGGTGTCTCCAGTCACCCAGGAACTTGAATTAGAACCCTTAAGATTCAAATGGCAGCAGTGGGCAATCAGGGTCACTGCTTTTTTGGAATGTAAGTAGCATTTCTAAAACGAACATGTGTTATTTACATACATAAAGCAAATATTGAAAGATTGGCTTAGGCTAAAAATACTCAAGGTAAAGTTGTAGTACTGGATAGTAAAAGAATGAGTTCATATTGTGGACTTTTCAAAACAAAAAAATTCTTTTAATCACGTCTATTTAAGATGAAAGTCATTTTTTGATTCAAATAAAACAGAAGGGAGTTGCCAAAAAAGTTTGTCCAAGAAATAATAATTGTATCTTATAGACAAGTACCAATCTCAGTTTACAATATTACTCTTAAGCAAATAATACTTTGACGACATCTTGCTGCATTTTAGAGACTGTATAGTTAAATATGAAATTTGAAAATTGCTTTGACATATTCTATTTTGTGTAACATTTTGAAAAAAGTATCATGAACAAGGCAGTAATATTTATCTACAAAACAAGGCAAGGAGATTGCATTTAGAATCTTCTTCTGGTAGGTTAGTTGAACAAACGAAACTTTCGTCTAGAGCTAGAAGTTGCCGTTGGTCCTGTCCAGGGTGAAGCCTTGCGTAGGGACAAGGTGCCAAATTTGGAAAGGAAAAAGGGACTGTCTCTTCTCTCTGCTGGGGAAGGAAGCACAGAGTGATTGAGGCAGCCTGAATTTCCGCCTCCTATTTGAAAAAGTCCTTCTTGTACTGGTCTTTCTCTGCCTTTAACCCCTTCTGTTGTGAGAGAACCCTGTCAGAGGGTTACTTTAGGGAATACAATTTTTTAAAACGCAGGGAGGGCTGCTCTGTAAACATGACAAGTATGGATGGCATGGAAGTCTTGATATTCTTCTGAGTCCTGAGAGTTATAGCCGCAGAAGATGAGGCCTGTAAGGTCAGTGGCCTGCCTGCTGAGATGGGAGCAGCGGTCAAGGGAAGTATGCCCAGTGCCGTGTGGGGGCAAAATGCCTCTTCACCACTTTGGCGGCCTCGCCCTGCTGACCCCTTTCTCCCACCCACCCTCCCTCCTGTCAGCCCCTACTTGGAGGCTGCCCATGCCCCTGGCAGGAAAGGACAGGTTTCTCCTCTGCTCACTTTGCTAGGGTATAAATTCCTCCTGTGAACAGACCTTTTGCGCCAAATTCTCCTGCGACTCCACCACCATGTCAGACACTTAATCCGTGATTCAGGCACAAATCAAAGGATTTGGAACTTCAAGAGACTTTGAAGACTCGAAAACTCCCAACTTCCCATTTTACTCGTGAAGAACTGAGACCACGTGAGAGCCACAGAGCTAATGAATGCCAGAGACATGGGACAAGAACCCGAGGGTCTGGAGCAGGATTCTTGCAGATGTCATTTTCTCAGGTCTGCGGGCGAGGCCTCCAGCCAGTGCTCATTCCTATGTGTGGTTACTAAGCGCTGTTGGTAGGAAACATAATTTTAGATGGGGTGATTTGGGGCTTCGTATTTAAAGAAATGAATCTTTGAGAGTCTGTCATGTGCAAACGACTGCCAAACAATTCTCTTCACACTGTTTTCTAAAACAATCATCGGCCCCACAGCTTTTCCTTATTGGGATGTGTCCTTAACTGAACTCCCGGAGATTAAACCCTTCATCTTCCATCCCTTTGAGTGTCTCACTCACACACTGAGGAATCTAAATTTGGAATCCTGAATTCTCTGGCTCGTATTTAAAGATGATTCCCTTTCTATTAGATATTCTTTATCTGAGCCTGAAGACTAGACAGCTGAGTATTCATTTAATGGGAAGACCTAAATTTTGTCCCCTGCAGGCATCCTGCCCAACTTACACAGTGGAAATCCTTGCAACTCTTTCTTTCATTTGGGCTGAGATGTCTTGTGTAGTCACAGTGAATTTATACAAAGCAAAGAAGATTCAGGAAGCAGAATAGACTGACAAAAACACTTCATTATTAGCATCCTGGAAGCAAATTGCATTGCTTTGGTTCTGTTCTCCATAAATACGTAGAGGAACAGATTGCAGGTACTGGCTCTGTGAAAGTTTTAAGCAGGTGAATTTTTACAAAATTGTGCATCTACTATGTGCCAGACATATTTTTCACATGTTCTTTCATTCAAGGAAATGCTTTATTCTCCTTCTGGGTAATATCTATCCTAAAAATTTATTCTTGGAAAGGATTTGATGTTGGTTATTTATATTTTAGTTTATGCATTTATTTACCCAGTAAATATTTTTTGAGCAGCCACTGTGTACCAGACATTATGCTAGGTGCTTTGTTACAATAGGGAGAAAACATTAGACAAATTCATGCCTTTATGTGTTAGATTAGTGAGGGACACAATATAATGACATGAGCAAATGTGAGATAAGAACTTGAAAGGCACTGTGAAGGAGGTGTACAAAGTACTAGGAGACGGGGATTCGTAAGAGCCGAGGAAAGCTTTCCTGTAAAATGATGCTTGAGCAGAAATGTGATGGAATTGGAGTTATCAGGGAAGGAAAAGTGAGTTGAGTCAAGAAAACAGTATATGCAAAAGCTTTGTGATAGTGGAGTGTCATGGAGTACAATATGGATTAAAATTTCTGCTCTTGCTGTAATGAGTGAATACGTTTGACTGGAGTTAGAAGGGAGAGAGGTAGACTGATTAGGACGTTGTTAAAAGAGACAAAGCTTGGCTAAAGATGGTGGAGAAGACGGAGGGAAACACAATTCTGACAGGATTGGGGGATGGTTTCAGCATGGAGGTGAGGGAGAGGTAGGTGTCATGGATGACTTCCGGGTTTCAGGCTTGTTCAACTGGATGACCAGTTCACTGAGATAGAGGTCCATGGAAGGAAACCAGGTTAGCAGGATTGGTGAGTGTGGGGAGTGGTGAATTCACTAAGTTTGGGCACCTTAGAGAACCTCAAGAGGACAAGGTGAGTTGCCAGTTGTATTATCAAGTTTGAAGCCCTAGGAGACGTTAGTTTGGGCTGGAGATAGAAATTGGTGAGTCATTTCTGTATGATAGTAATGAAGAAATCGAGTAGAGGTGAGATCAGCTGGGAAAAGAATATTTTGGAGTGCATTTAAATAAATGCTTTGCTCTTTTCTGGGCATGAGCCTTTTAAGCCTTGTGCAAGTACAGAATAAATTGCTCTGATTCCTGATCAAGGAAGACCTTGAACAGGTTTTAGAGCAGGTGGACAAACTTATGAATTTGGTAGAAATGTCCCTAAAGTGATGCCACATAGGCGGACCCTTCTGAGCTTGTTCAAAAGTTGGCCAAAAATACATGAAAGATATTTTTCACATCTTTAGGAAAAATCCCCTTTTAGCTGTCTGCTTGGGAGGCAGATGGTGCCTACGGAGAGAAGGGCAGGTGAAAAGCCGAGGCCTATAGAGCAGATTAAATGCAGTACTGTGCTGGCCAATAAACTGATTAAATGATCAAAGATGTGCTTTCCATCTAAAGCAGCTTGAAGATGTTTTTTCTGTGAAGACTGAATTAATCTAAAACTTCTCTACTGGCTTCTAGAGAGTTGAAAGTGTTGGTTTCCTCGTGTGTCCAGGTGTTCGCATTCCTTCAGAATGTAAGCTTTCCCGGCCATCACAAGGAGGAGGGCTGTGGCTCTTCCTGACTCCCCAGCCTGGGTCCCTGTATCCTAGGGTACTCGCTGGGGCCTTATCTGTCAGTAAGTAATTGAATAGTCCTTCCTTGATTTGTTAGTTTTGAGTCAAGAAATTATCCTTTCAGATACAACGAAGATTTATTATCCACAAATGTGCTAGGCATTGTGCTGGATGTTTTCACCTTTATTATCTCATTTAAGAACAAAGAGGTATTTATTAGGTGTCTCTTACATGTTCACTATAGTACTAGGCACTATGAAGAATAGAAATAGGTAAGATTAATGTTTTCTTCCTCAGGGTGCTTATGGTTTGGTTGGAATGAAGAGACAAGAAACCAGGAAACAATTAGGATACACGTAAGTGCTTTGTAGGCAAGAGTAATCCCAGAGGGCTGCCTGGAGGAGGTAGGAATTGAGTGGGCTTCGAAGGAGGGAGGGGGTTTAGAGAAGCAGAATGGGGATGGGGAGGGGACACCCCAAGTGGAAGGACAGTCTGAGAGGATGCCAAGCTTAGTAAAGCCCAGGAAAAACAGGAGCCCGGCTGCCAGCTGGAGCTACCCCAGCAGAGCCCCTTCCTGAACGATCTTGGTGCTGAAGCTGGCATTTAATGTCTGCAGCTTTTTCAGTCAACCAGGTAGAGAAAACTCATTGAAATTTTTCCTTTTGTAGAATATTTGGGAAAATACAAAAGAGTATAAGAAATAAAATTTAAATTACGCACTATTATTATTAACATTTTGGTGTATAAGCTTCTGGAAAATCTTGTATGCATACAGATGGACAGACTGACATGCACAAAATCAACCAACAGCTCCCTGAAAATAGCGTTTTCTATGGTACTATTCTATTCTCTTCTGTCGTCATAGCCGCTCAGGGGAGGACTGTAAATAAGAATATTGATTGATTTGCGAAGTACAAAGTATTTCCACACAATGAACACTACAAAACTGTTTTAAAAAGATGAAAGGGAGAAGTAGATAATCTGTATGTACACGTTCACAGAAGGAATCCTATCATATATTATTAGGTGAGAAAGGCATGTTACAAAACATTATTGAAGCATATCCATTTATTGGCATTATTTTAATTTTTAAACAACATATTAGAAAAATGAATAATGATATTTCCATTTAAAAATTACGGGTTAGACATTTTTCCATATTAAACATTCTTCAAAAACAATTTTTATTGGCTACATAATGTGTCATCATGTGAGTGTACAACAGTTTATTTAATCCTCCCTTTGTTGTTCCAGTTTTTCATGATTATATAATCTCACACACACACACACACACACACACACACACACACACACACGCTTTTAAAGTATAGATTGCTATAATAGACCTATTGAGTCAAGGGAAATAAAAATGTTTGAGGTTCTTGCCAAATTACTTTCCAGAGAGGCTGCCAAGATTTTTCATTTGTACCAACAGTGTCTGAAAGTACAGGTCTCATTGTACTCAAAGCACTTTAAAATTCCTTTTGAAAGTTAATAGGAAAAATAATGTTTCATTGTCATCTTTTTTGCCTCATTTATATTGCTAATAACATCCAAGATTTTTGATGTTTACCAGCCACTTACATTTTTATTTGAATAATTTAATTCTTAACTTTTACCTATTTTTCTATTTTATAGTACGCAAAAAATTAATAGACTTTATTTTTTTAGTGCAGTTTTATGTTTACAGAAAAACTGAGCGAAAAAATACAGAGATTTCCCATATATCACCTTCATCCACTCTCCTCTCAGTTTCCCCTACTATTAGCATCTTGCGTTAGTGTGGTATGTTTGTTACAACTGATGAGCCAATATTGATACATTATTGTTAACTAAAGTGTATAGTGGCTTCACTTGTGGTGTTATACGTTCTACGGGTTTTGACAAATGTATAATGACATGTATCCAGTATTACGGTATCATGCAGAACAGTTTCACTGCTCTTAAAAATCCTGTGTGTCCCCCTATTCATCTTCCCTCTCCCATAACCCCTGGCAACCACTGATCTTTTTATTGTCTCTGTATTTTGTCCTTTCTATGACATCACATAGTTGGAGTCATGCAGCATGTGGAGTTTTCAGACTGGCTTCTTTGACTTAGCGATATGCGTTTAAGATTCCCCATGTCTTTTCATGGCTTGGTAGCTCATTTCTTTTTATGGCTCAATACTATTCCATTGCCTGGATGCACCATGGTTTGCTGATTTATTCTCCTGTCGAAGAGTATCTTGGTTGTTTCCAAGTTTTGGCAATTATGAATAAACCTGTTGTAAACAGTCATGTACAGGTTTTTGTGTGGACGTAAGTTTCAACCAATGTGGGTAAATACCAAGGAGTGGGATCGCTGGATCATATCGTAAGAGAATACTTAGTTTTGTAAGAAACTGCCCAACTGTCTTCCAGAGTGGCTGTACCATTTTGTATTCCCACCAGCAATGGATGAGACTCGTTGTTGACAGCATTTTTAAAAATTTATTCACAGCAACAACAGTTTTTTAAAAATCTATGCATACGCTACTTGTCTGTGAAGAAGAACCTCTTGTTTCTCATACATGGAGCAGAGGTGTTTTGTTTTTTTTTAATGTCAGCTTATTGATTGTGTTCTAAAACTCTTTTTCAGTGGATAGAGTTTTACTTCACTGTGAAGGATCTGCCTGTAGTTGACTTCCTCCAAGATTCTATTTTTGATGTTGGATGCTTTGAATTCTTGATTGTAATAGTAATCAAGAATTATTTTCTAAATTTTAACAAGTTCATATGCTGCACTCAACAAGATCGCATAGAACACGTTAACATTTTGCTGTGTTTGTTACGCAACAGTAGTCTTTCACCAGTCAATTTTGCATGTAGGCATAATTAACTTCAGTGGGTAAAACCACCACAAAGACTTGGAGTGTCCTCTGCCGAGTTCTTTTTAGGTTCATGCAAAATATTTTGTTAATGTAAATTTAAGATTACTTATCTAAACATTCAAAAGAAAGACAATGAGACCTTTAACGTTGTCAGTGCTGGCTCGCCTGACCCCTCCTTGCCCCTGTACCTAGGCACTCCCAGGGCTGTACCGCAGAAATGAACTCATTTAATCATAGCCTTGTGAGCTAGAGGGACTCTCAAGGTGCTTTAGCTCAGCCACAGGCCTGACCTGGTTTAAGTTGCCTCCAACAAACGATGCTCGCCCTAATCCCTCAGAATTCCAGATACGCTACTCTAGTGAGGCAGAAAGGCTCCCAAGTTTTTTCTCTTTCCATACATTCTTCCTTGGGTCAAATCAAACTTCTTTACCTGCAGTTAGAAAGCCACTTCTTTGTGTTTTTTTATTTCAGAACCATCCATGAGCATTTCTCTTGGAAGTTGCTAAGAGAGTAGATCTTAAATGTTCTCACCATAACGACAACAACAAAAATGGTAATTATGTGAAGTGAAGGGTGAGTTAACTCACTTATTGTGGTAAACGTTTCACAATATATATGTGTATGAAATCATCACATTGTACACCTTAAACTTACACAATGATATATGTCAATTATATCTCAAGAAAGCTGGAAAAAATGTAAATCCTTTACAAACATGAAGACAGGTTCCCTTTGCCTCTGACTTTTGTGTCATCATTCTTAATTATGCCTTTCTTTTTAAAAATTTTTCGGTGAGGAAGATTGTCCCTGAGCTAACATCTGTGCTAATCTTCCTCTACTTTGTATGTGGGATGCTGCTACAGCATGGCTTGATGGGCAGTGTGTAGGCCTGTGCCTGGGATGCAAACCAGCCAAACTGGAGTGTGCGAACTTAACCTCTATGCCACCAGGCCGGCCCTGATGCCTTTCTTTTTATTTCTGGCTTTTTCTTTGTTCTTGAACTATATACTTGTATCTTTCTAGACAATTCAATTAACATTTACAGAGTACCTACTGTGTGCCAGGGGCATTGGGCTAAATTCTAGGAATCCCTTTAAGGAACCATCAAGGACAGGAGGTGGCAAACTTTTTCTTTAAAGGACCAGATAGTAAATATCTTAGGTTGGGGGTGCTATACTGTCTCTGTCACACTACTCAACTCTGCCTTCGTAGTTTGAAAACAGCCATAGACAGTAAGTAAACAATTGGGCATGGCCATGTACCAATAAACCTTTTTTACAAAACAGGTGGTGGACCCCTGATCAAGGAGATCACGGATACTTCCGAAACAAATTAGAATACACCATAAAGAGTACTGTTCAGCAACAGTATCAATGTGGTAAGCGAACTCTATCAGCGTGTGAACAGCTTTCTACTGGAAGGGAGCGCAGGGAATAATTCATTTTACTTGGGGCTGCTCAACAAGTTTTCATTTAGGAGGTGACTTTTAGGATTTAAAGGATTCCAGGAGGGAAAAAGGATTTCAAAAGGAGAATTCCAACTAGTGTGAGCAAGGGATGTGAGCATGAGAGAACATGTCACGTTTGCGAAGTCTCGAGTTCTCCTTTTGTGGCTAAAATACAGTGTATTTGTGGGAAGATGGGGAAAGCCGCGCTGGAGCCAGACCATGCAAGGCCCTGAGGCTACCCTCTGGGAACTGGATTTTAGCTGTGGGCAAAGATGGGGACACAGCCAACTCTGTTTAAAAATGGAGGGGCCGGCCCAGTGGCACAGCGGTTAAGTGCGCACATTCCACTTTTCAGCAGCCTTGGTTTGCATCCCGGGTGCGGACATGGCACCGCTTGGCAACCCACGCTGTGGTAGGCATCCCACATATAAAGTGAAGGAAGATGGGCGTGGATGTTAGCTCAGGGCCAGCCTTCTGCAGAAAAAAGAGGAGGATTGCCAGTAGTTAGCTCAGGGCTAATCTTCCCCCCCCCACCCCCAAAAAAAAGGGATTGCCGAAGTCTACACCATGTGGAGGGAGTTTTGGGGTGGGAGACAGTGGAGGCAGGGAAACAAGTTATACACCCATTCCTGTTGTCCTGGTGAGACAGGATAAGGGCCTAAACTGAGGCAGTGGTTTTGGTATAGAGAAGAGAGATGTTACGAGGATGAATTGACAAGTCATGTTGACTGAATGGTTGTTTCCAGAACTCTGGGATGGTCAACTGGGTGGTTGTGTCCAGTCATTTAGTGCTCAGATTTTCTCCCAGACCCTGCCCTTTCCTTGCTCTGTATCGCAGAGAGCTGATCCTTGCAAACTATAGTTCCCAGCTCCCTCGCCTACTGGCGTCTTGTTGGGCACAGCCACGTGGGAGGGGGGAGACAGAGAGAAGCCAAGATGTTTCTCCCATCTCTCCCTGTTCCTGTGGCAAAAGCAGCAGCAGCTGCGTCTCCTTTGTACATCGAGCTCCTGCTGTGGTCCAGGGTTCCAGCTCCCACCTGATGGCCTTGGCTCTTGGGCACCGTAACACCATCTCTTCTGTGTTTCTTCAGCCCCGGGGGTGAGAATGTCTTCCTGCCATTGCTAATCTCTGGGAGGCCTCACCTTCCTCTGTTTTCTCCCTCAGCTTCTCTGATATCTTTTTAACCACTTCCGCAGGTTAAATTCCTTCAGTTGAACTCCCTAGCATAGGTTCTATTTTTCTGACGGACCCTGGCTGAGAGAGGTAATGGTTAAGAGTTGGGCAGTGCAGAAGATTAAGGTAGAAAAGGAAGATAATTCCATTTTCAATCTGTTTCTTAGTTTGATATGAGGTTCCTATTGTGCTATAATGGCCTTCATGCTTTCTCCCTCTAGTCCTTTTTTCACAAAACTGGTCAGAGTAATTTTTTAAAAAGCCAAATAGATCATATCATTCCCTGCTTAAAACCTCCCAGTGGCTTTCCATTGTACCTAGAATAAAAGCTAAACTCCTTACCTAGGTACATGAACCTCTACCTGCACCTGCTTATCTTTATGTCCTCATTTACCCTGCCAGCCACATTGGCCCTCTAGCTGTTCCTCAGACTCACCAAGTTAATTTCTGCCTCAGGGCCTTTGCACTTGCTGCTTCTACTGCTGGGAATGCTCTTTCCTCAGCTCTCCTCATGTCTTCCTGCAGGTCTCTGTTTTTGTGCCACCTCTTCAGATATACCACCACCATTCACCTCTGTATTCTGGTTTTTGCTCTTCATCAGATGTATGAAATTATAGCCTTTATGTCTTTCTAATTCTTTCAAGTTAGAGGGAAGAAAATTTTGCCTTGTCTGCCTTTCTATTCTCAGCACCTGTATAGGGTCTGGCATACATTAAGGGCAGGATGAATATTTGCTGATGAATAGATGAATCATTATTTTACCTTTACAAAGTCTTGTATAGCAGAGGTGCTTTGTATATTTTATTTTTATGACTTTACTTATTTGTTTTTATTATTTTACTTCTATGTTTTCTTTTCCTGAAATGCTCTCTCCCATTCTATCTTCACTATTCAGTTTTGTTTGTTTGTTTTTGTTTTGGGGGGTTTTTTTGGTGAGGAAGATTTGCTCTGAGCTAACATTTGTTGCCAATCTTCCTCTTTTTTTTGCTTGATGAAGATTAGCCCTGAGCTAACATCTGTGCCAATCTTCCTCTATTTTCTATGTGGGTTGCCACAGCGGCTTGACAAGTGGTGTAGGTCCATGCCCAGGATCCAAACTTGCGAACCCAGCCCACTGAAGCGGAGTGTGTTGGACTTAACCACTACATCATGGGGACGGCCCCATTCACTATTCATTTTTCAAAACAGTTGGAATCCTTTCCTCTACGAAACTTTCCCTCCCTACTCCATACAGAGCATTGACTCCTCCCTCCTGTGGGTTCCATTGTACCCTGGCAAGACTGACATTTTATTGCACTGATTTAATATTCATCTCCTTTTCCTAGATAGCAACCTCTTAAAGGAAAGCTGAGATCAGGAATGTCACTTCTATAGCTTCAGAATCTAGAGTAGTGCCTGACACATAGTTGCAGTCAGTAAATTTTTGTTGAATGAATGAATGAATGAATGAATGGAGTAGCAGATACAGGAGACTCTTTAATTCCACATTTCTATTTTTCCATACACAGTGGCTCACTGGGAAAGAAAAATGGTTTCATATCTGTAAAATGGGGATGACAGTACCAACCTCACTCCATTTGTGGGGAAGATTGAGATCATGGAATGAAATCTCTTGGGAAGTTGTAAGTATAGTATAAACAAAACCCATCATTCCTAAAGTATGGGGAAAGGGCTTCTTCCACAGACAAGGATGCATCCTGATCTAAGTAACAGTTTTACCTGAAACTTGTCTATAAGAAACCTTCACATTTCTAGAATTTTCAGGATGACTTGGGAAGAAGGTGTCCTGATGGAAGTAGGGTTGAGATAGAGTTCACAGAAAAAGAGGGAGAAGTCCTTAGGTGAGCATGCCTGGCTTTTTAGAGGTTTGGTTGATCCTGGCAGGAAGGCCTCATACTGCGTCCGCTAGGGATGGATCCACAAAGCCCCTAAGCAAGAGAAGAACACACTCGGGGAGGCCCTGACCCCACAGCTAGATCAGGTGTTGGGCCAAGATGGCCAGAGCCGTGTACAGCGCCCATCTGTGCCTTCCCTTTCCCGTGTGAACCCGAGACCCCAGCCCAGCACCCTGAAGGGCCAATCGTCACCTGAGCACTGGAGTGTTGGGTCCTGACAGGTGCTGCCTTGCTCTGGTGCCTTCAACTCCTCAACTCCTGCATCTGCAACTTAGAGAAGCATCGGGTGGAGTAAACATGTGTGACCCCTCTTTCTGCCCGCAGTCTTTATCCTTTGCTATTCTGCAGTGCCTTTTGGAAGCCGAGGGTCTGTTTTGTCTCCAGCCCTATTTTGCACTGTGTCACTGAGTACCTAATTTACTACCTATTAAGCAAAGACTAGAGGGAGAAACAGATTTTAAAACATTTAAGAGTATTTAAGTGCCAAAGTGCTTTTTCTAAGGATGAAACCAATGACAGGATGTTGGTTTTCATCCAAGAGTTCCTAGAAGACAAAAGCCATCCATGAGAACACATCTGGATTGAACCTGGGGGCACAGTGGGTGGGGACGTTGGGTTGAACTGGGGGCCTCTATGTAAAACCAATCGTGGCCTCAGAATTTAAAATTAAGTCATGGTGTGCAGGGGTACCTGCCCCCTTTGTGCTATCCATACTGCCCTCCCATGAAGGGGATCTTAGCATCATTTCAGACATATTTTTACTTCAGACACTTTTTAAAAATCCCAGTTCTATCAAAACAATTATGGATATTTTTGCTGATGCACAGAGCCAAGTTTTAAAAGAAACCCAAGTAGACCTTAAAAAAATTAAAAGGAATTAATTACCTGCTTAGCCCAAGTGCCCGCCTTTTAAAAATTTAGTATTCTAAGAAAAGATATGTGAGTGGCTGGCATATGAGCATTCGTTGCTCTTCTCTGCGCTCTCCTATTTCTGTGCTCCTTCTTGTTTTTTCTTTTAATAGCATTTCGTATTTAACTGCATGTTTCCACATCCATCTCCCTCATTGGACTTGAGCTTATCTGGGACAGAACCGAGTCTCACCCAGCTTGGATTCATCATCACATCACTATGATATGAGTGTGCCTAGTGCAGAGTTGTTTTTCAAAAACTATTTGTTGAATGAATAAACATCATTTTTAGCGGTAGGCTTGTTGCAATCATAGGTACTTTACCTGCCACACAAGAGGGGCCACATAAAAACTGGAACGCCAGACTTATGACAAGGAAAGGTTTTTATTTCAGGTGACATCAGCTGGGAGATGAAAGTGAGCCCTCAGATTCGTCTTGTTTCCCCAAAAGATGGGAGGCCAGGGGTTTTGAAGGTTGTGAGGAATGTGGCTGCTTGTAGGGAGGAGGAGCCTGTGGGCTTGCTGGCTGGTGCTTCGTTTGGCCTTGTGAGGCTGTTTGCAGAGAGGAGGATGGTGGGATAAGGGAATCTGCAGGTGGCTGTCCTTGGTTTTCTGCCTCTGTGGCGGACGGCGGATTCTGGTGCCAGGAAGCGGAGGAGTAAGCAGGGAAAGGGGATGAGTGCTTTGGTTTTAACCCCTTATGTGCTAAGTTTAACGTAGGGCAACAGATATCAGGGCCAGTATCAGGCTTTTGTTTGGCTCTCAGCCTAATTAGATACTTTTAAATTCATAACAAGCACTAGCTCTTAATCAGATCAAAAGATGCTCCAGCTCCCTTTTAATAAAATAAATATGAATTAAAACTCTACTGAGACGCCACTTTTTCCTCAGTCATGTCCTTGTATACATTGTGCACACAGTGTCAACATTTTGTTAGTGGTATACACTAGTGTTACTTCTAGGGAAGGCATTTTGGCAACATGTACCAAAATTCCAAATGAACATACTCTGTGACCCAGGAATTCCACATCTAGAAATTTGTCTGATAGATGTTCTCCCACAGGTGACAATGATACATGTAAGAACAGTACTGTGGTGCTGTTCCCAGTAGCAAAAGCCTGGCACTGACCTAAACGTCCACCAGTGGGGGACTAGTTAAATAAATAATGACATATGCATACTGTAGACAGTCTAGTCCAGGGGAAAAAAAGAATAAGATAGCTCTGTATCTACTGATATGGGATAATGTTAAAAAAACAACATTCAAGATGGTGTGTAGGGGCCGGCCCCATGGATGAGTGGTTAAGTTCGCGTGCTCCACTGCAGCGGCCCAGGGGGTCCCTGGTTTGGATCCTGGGCGTGGACATGGCACCGCTCGTCAGGCCACACTGAGGTTGTGTCCCACATGCCACAACTAGAAGGACCTGCAACTAAGATATACAACTATGTACCAGGGGGGATTAGGGGAGATAAAGCAGAAAAAAAAAAAAAAAGATTGGCCACAGTTGTTAGCTCAGGTGCCAATCTTTTTTTTTAAAAAAAAGACAGTGTGTACAGTATGCTACCATGTGTTATTTAAGTGATGATAAGACAAATGACATGTTTGCATGTATATGCATAGCTATCTCTGAATGGACTTATAAAACCCTAGTAATATTGGCTGCCTCCGGTTCAGAGAACTGGGTCCATAGGTCACAGAGAGCTATGGTTTCTGTCACTGGCATCAAAGAAAGTCCTATTGACCTTCTTGTTTAACCCCTTACCATTTTGCCTTTGCTTTTAGAATTAAAAGTCCAAAATCCTTCCTATGGCCAGCAAGGTGCTTCACGACAGGAACCCCACCCTCCCTCCCCTGCCTCATCCTCAGCCCCTCTCCCTTCCTCTCTGCTTGGTCTCCTTTCAGTTCCTCAAACACCATTTTCTATTCCATTTTGAGGTCTTTGCAGATGCTGTTCCTCTGCCCAGAATACTTTCCCTTCATCCTCACCTGCCTAACTCCTAGTGGTCCTTGAGGCATCGGCTTGAGGCCACTTCATCAGAGTGACCTTTGCTACCTCCTCAGACTTGTATAGCCCCCTGATAGATGCTCCCATGGCACCCCAAACTTCTTTTTCTGTGGCAAACCCTTACAATTGCAATTAATAAGTTATTGGCCTGATGTCTGTTTTCCTCGCTAAGCCACAAGCCGATGTCTGTCTTGGTTACCTTTCCACACACGCCTAGCTCAAAGCAGGCACTCGTAAACACTTGTGGAAGGAAGGAGAGCAGGATGGAAGGAATGAAGGTGGGAAGGAGGAAGTAGGGAAGGTAGCAGGTAAGGGAGAGAGGAGAGAAGGAAGAAAGGGAGTAAAAACAGACGTTAAAGCTCTTTGTAGGCTATCCCTATGTGTGTTCTTTGTCAGTGGTTAGTTTGTAGGCTTGGTATTCTCAGATTTATTTGAAAATTATATTGTTAACTCCATGGCCTTAGAATTTATACTTCATAAAAATTGGGGATTTGGGTTTATAGTTTAGTGAAAAAAATTTATCACTGCCAATGTGTTTTTGTGTTAATTTAGCCTAGAAATCATGTTATTCTGAATATTTCTTGTTTTACCCTTGAGGGGCAGTGGCTCTTCAAACAGAAGGTAATAATTTCTATCTTTTATGGGTGGGAAAATATTTCAATACATCCATGTTAGGAGTTTAGGCGATTTTAATTATTCTACACATTTTTACATTGATGCTGCTATGTTTAATATGAATCAGATGGTCACTGGGTTGTACTTAGAATGAAATCAAGCTTCTTCCCCAGCCTCCAAGGTCCAGAAGGAGCTGGTTGCTGCCCATCTTTCTGCTCCAACCACGCTGGTCTTCTCAAGCCAGGATCATCTTCCCTCAAAGCCTGGTCACTTTTTACCTCTTCCAGGAATGCTGTCTTCATTCAGGTCTCTGCTCCAATGTCAGCAACTCAGGAAGGGCTTTCCAGAAACTTCCATCTGAAGTATGGGGGACCAGACAGGTTTTATGAGGCCTGAAGCTTATATAATTTGAGGAAAAGAATACAAAATTATGAATATAAAAATTCATACAAAAGTAAACACTTATTTAAAATAAGAAATGACAACAAAGGACAAAATTAAAGAGCTGACACATGCCCCAACCATTAGAAAAAGAACATATGTTTTTATCAATCAACTGCCTGAGATAATAATTTTTTACCCTACAATTTTGGCTACATACTCTTTGTTCTTTTTTTTTTTTTTTTTTAAAGTTTTTTTCTTTTTCCCAAACCCTCTTCCTGTGACAATGATAGTGTGAAACATGCAGAAACTTTTCTATACTCTTTGATCACCTCTTCCTGTGACAATGATAGTGTGATATTTTCTATACAGTGAATAAAAAGATAATGCAGTCTTCGCCATAGTATCATTGATTGATATGTCTTTTTATGATTGGCAGTTTACAAAAGTTTCTTTGAAAAGTTTCACTACTCATTATGGGTAATGTCAAGTAAATTTTTAGGATTGTTGTCAAAATTTGAGAAATTTCTATTAGGTTTTTTTAAATATATGAGCTCTAAGACTTTAGGGCATTTCAAGTGTTTTGTTTTTTTTATGGGGTGTGTGGTGTGCCAGTGTGTGCACGTGTGTGTGCATGTGTGCATGTGGGCCTCCACACCAGCATGCTCCCGTCCCTCAGGGGTCTCGGACGGAGCCTGAAGAGCTCTGAAACTGAAGTCTCATTAGCCTCACAGTCATTGCCCCCCTGTCTCTACTCCCCAGTTACTAGTTATCACTTCACTTGGTTTCTATTTTCCTCGGCACTTAACATAATCTGACAGCGTCTTAATCAAGCCCTTTCCTCTTTGCAGCCTGCCTTCCCCCACTGCAGTGTGAACCAGCAAGGATGAGGGTCCCTGACTGTTTTGTGCAGGCTGTGTCCCCAGAGCCTCTTACAGGCCTGGCCGAGGAGTGGGGCTCAATAATTTGATGAATGAATGCTAAATGGGATTTAATGTCAGTCTCTAGAATTTGTTCCTGGAACTTATGAATGTCGATTTTTCATAAGAGCCATTTAAATTAAATTTTCACATTCAGTGTTATGAGCACTAATTGTGCTAATAGGATAATCTTCTAAAGTGGCAGTTTTTACCTGATATCACAGTGTGTTTATTTCTTTGACTAGAAGTTTTGAAACGGTAACACCACAGTCTTTAGAGTTTGTATGGACCTCACATCTTTGACACAGCAGCTTTCAAACTTTCATGCTCCATTAGCTCCCAAATTAATTTTAAAACAAAATAAAATGAAACAATTGGCACCCTCATACATTTTCAAGTTATTAATTTCTTTAAATCATAAATTTAAATATTTGCAAAGGATGTAATTTCTAACTTGGTGTAAACTGTATTAATTGGAAGCAAAATACCAAATCAATTTGATTCCTGCCTTCATTGCTTTTATTTATTTATTTATTTTTTCTAAAGATTGGCACCTGAGCTAACAACTGTTCCCAATCGTTTTGTTTCCCCTGCTTTTTTTTCTCCCCAAATCCCCCCAGTACATAGTTGTATTTTTTTGTTGTTGTTGTGGGTCCTTCTAGTTGTGGCATGTGGGATGCCACCTCAACATGGCCTGATGAGCAGTGCCATGTCCGTGCCCAGGATCTGAACCCTGGGCTGCCAAGCAGAGCTT